AACATCAAATACCCGATATTGAGACATTCCAAATATGATAAATGAATACAAATAATGCACAATATAATGAAAATAATTCTATTGTACTTAAATAAATTTTTAATTATCCTTAAAAATTAATGTTATTTCAGTACAATTTGTTCAATCTAACAATAATTTTATTTAACTGGACGTATATCTTGTAAAATACCGTTGCAACAGATTTCTGCTTCGGCTTCCGCAACTGCGGAAGTTCGGCCCACCTTTTCACATCAGCTGCTGCATTTGCTTCCACATCGAAGCCATTCATTGGCCGAATGCGCCGTCATCGCTATCACTTACAGAAATTGCTATAATAATAAACATTGGTGAAAACCGACCAAATTGCTGTATATTATTGGTTTCGTTAAAGTTCTTTTTGTGCTTTTCTCGTTGAAGTATGTACTCGTTACATTAAATAAAGTACTAAAACACAAAATTCGACGTGAAACCTTAAAACGCATTTGGACTGGATGCTCATCAACATTTAGTTGGTGACTTTCTTTAACATGGGGTAACTCCTTGAATGTCGAAACGAGTTTTAGGGATAACGCTACTATATCCTACAAATCTATCCGGTTTTTGGGTCTATTCCCCGAAACTTTATCGCTCTAAATATTGTACTTTTTTCCAGTTTCGAGTTGCTCTCCTATTATCGCAGCAGCAGAAGCCCATTGTTTCGGAACAAAGTGTAGTTATCAGCACGTTATCAGCAGGAGTACCAACATCAGCCCCTGTCATTGTACGCGCGGTAACAGTCGATTGTACGCGCATCAGCGTGAGCTGGGAACCCGGTCCCTTTCCTAACGGCCCTATCCTTTCCTATGTGCTTCGTATTACTGAAAACGCCCCACAAGGATACTCGGCACTTGAGGTGTGCCACTAAAAGAAAATTTATTTTTAATAATAATTATGCACAATCTTTAGCAAAGTTGCACTCAACGCATTAATTACTCTATTCTTGCTTATTAATATAAATTAAAATGAATAATTTCTTTTCATGCGCTAGATTTCTATAACAAAAGAAAGGTGACTACCAATAGGTATTGGTATGGTAAAATCAAACTGTATTCAAACGACACAAAAAGCTTAAACTTTTAAAAAAGTTTCCATCATGGCCGCTATTGGTCATGAAAGGTTCATCTTTTATTAAGTGTGTATTTTTCAACTAGATTTTCAATGCGTCTAATGACGCGTTTATCATATAGAATAACACATTGTTCTATTTTCTTTACTCTTGTAAGCAAAAAATGTCCCCATTTAAATGGACCTTTTACGAACAACTTTTTGAAGAAATGGTTTATTTCTTGAACTTGGCTTGTAAATCATCCTTCCAAGAACCCATTTCACGTTGTTAAACATCTCTAGATCCATTATGTTGCTGTCTATATGCAATTATTCATAAACTATTAAACAGATCTAGCTCGCACTCTAATAAAGACCTACAAAGCCCCGTCACCAAGATGTTATATTGTAATGTTCGTGGGTTTAGCAAAATTAACTTCTAAGACTGATAACGACAAAAACTATTTATTTACACTGATTATTAAAAAACTTAAAAACACTATTAAATTATTAATATATCACTATTCACTGCGCTATTTATATCACTGCTATCACTGTCAGTTTATTTCTGTAACAGTCAATTTATTTCTTCTCCTTTCAGCGATCGTCTCTTCCTTTAAATACACTTTTGTTTACTTTCGGGAGCCTTCTGGAAACATCCGGATAGTTTATTTTTTTAACTGTTTAACTGCTTTCCCAGAACGCAGGTATGACACACACATTTACAAATACGGCGCACATGAAGAAAGGCGGCTAGTCGGCGAGTCGATAAGCTGTTCACGCACACATGTGCCCGATCGCACACAAATACACTCGTGCTTGCTACAATATGTTACTTATGGTCATTATTGCAAAAATAGTGCAATGGGCTTCATCTTGGGCTTCATCTTGTAATTAAGACCGAACGAATAAAACCAAGACCAAATACGCAAGACTAAGCGAAAAATGATTACTTCTGGTGGATGTATGAGTTAAACTGTTCAAAACAAATTTAGTATATCCTTTTCTTGGAACAAAACGTTTTTAGTGTACCGTATTTGAAATTTTCAGTTTGCTTTACTATATTTTAACACTAAATATAAATAAAATAAACTTTGCCAGTGTTCGAGAAAAGGGATCTACAAGAATGTCATTGAAGTTCCTACATCTGAATAACACATGATTAGAATATAGACAAACAAATTTTTTTTGGATTTATTTTTACTTCTTTCGAGTACCTTGTACCTACCATTTTGTTCGCTAAAAGATCAATTTATGTATTGGAAGATGGGTAAATTTTCAGAGTTTTTCGTATCTCTCACAATTATCGTCACCATTTTCTTTAAAAGTCATGAAAAGCTCGTATGTATAACAAAAAATTTCAGCATTTAAGACAATTATTGTGTGGATAAATAGAAAAATTTGCGCTTAGAAGAACTAATTAATTAAGAACAAGACCAAGATGGAGACTATGTCAGCAAGACCAAAACCAAGACCAAGACCAAAACCAAGATTATATGAGCAAGACGAAGACCAAGACCAATACTGAAAGTATTTGAGCAAAATCAAAACCAAAAAGGCATAAGCAAGACCAAGACCGATACCAAGACTGGTACACTCTTGGTCTTCACCTCTTGCTCTGCTCATCACTATTCGCCATTATCTCGAAAAGTTATCCATCGATTTTGATACATAAAGAGTGAAATTAAAGATCTTTCAATATCCATACAACTTTCACCGGTACTACTGTAGAACGTAAACAGAAAATTCTATGGCCCGAAAACTGAATTTTCCGACTTTGATCGTTGTTTAAAAAAAAACGAGTCAAAATTGCCCAGCAACCTTCAAATCCTTTTGTATGAAATTTATCAATCATTTATACACAATTTAAACTAATTTTAGACTTTAAATTCTGTATCTACGAACGNAAGCTCGTATGTATAACAAAAAATTTCAGCATTTAAGACAATTATTGTGTGGATAAATAGAAAAATTTGCGCTTAGAAGAACTAATTAATTAAGACCAAGACCAAGATGGAGACTATGTCAGCAAGACCAAAACCAAGACTATATGAGCAAGACGAAGACCAAGAGCAATACTGAAAGTATTTGAGCAAAATCAAAACCAAAAAGGCATAAGCAAGACCAAGACCGATACCAAGACTGGGATAGTCTTGGTCTTGACCTCTTGCTTTGCTCATCACTATTCGTCATTATCTCGAAAAGTTATCCATCTATTTTGATATATAAAGAGTGAAATTAAAGATCTTTCAATATCCATACAACTTTCACCGGTACTACTGTAGAACGTAAACAGAAAATTCTATGGCCCGAAAACTGAATTTTCCGACTTTGATCGTTGTTTAAAAAAAAACGAGTCAAAATTGCCCAGCAACCTTCAAATCCTTTTGTATGAAATTTATCAATCATTTATACACAATTTAAACTAATTTTAGACTTTAAATTCTGTATCTACGAACGTACCAATGTACAATACACACATTATGTAAACTCAATACTTCTGATGGAGATTTCAATTAATACCTAATAGTAAAAATGTTTTCTAAATGCATTTTTACTTTTTAAATATTTTATTTTTCTTTATATTTCTTCTGACGAAAACATTGATTAATTTTTCTTTTCATTTATTAATTACAATTCAGAAAGAAGATCACATTTCTTTAATCCTAATAGAAATCTAGCCAGTGCCTATGCAGTTTTTCGCTCTTATACAGTTTTTTTTAATAGTATTCATAGAGCAATCCACAGAAATGCTTCATGTTTCTTTTTATTGCCTTGTTATATTAAAACTAAAATTTTCATATCTTTGCTATTTGCAATAAATACACTCTGCTAGTTTTCAAACACAAAAAAATCCTACTACCTCTTGTTTGTGTATGTTATGTATGTACCTATTATTGTCTTGTATTGTTGTCTTTAAACCGCTTGTTAACATTCTCCTGTTATTAATTTTACTATTATTTCTTCACAATTTTATATAGAGTGGTATGCATGAAAATATACAATACTATCAATATATTGTTAATGTTTCAAGTATATATATAGTGAAGTATATACCTACTTATATACTACCGTATAAAGTATTTACTTTGCCTCAGATTATCTACTCCAAAATTTTGTAGTATCTACTACTCAAACCGCCTATTTGGTCTCCCTCTTTGTGGTACATTGCTTATGTACTTATGTAAAGTAAATGTTTTTTCTCGAAGTATTAGCATTCCGTTTATTTCATGCATACCACTCAATATATTTATCAAATACTTAAAATAAAACTACAACTTTTCTAAAACAGATTTGCCAAATACGTATTCAATGTAATACTTAACGTAAGTAAGTAATACTTACTTAAAGTAAGTTTTGACTGACTTTCCTTTCAGCTAATTACCTATAAAAGTTGTAGTAGGTACCAGTTTCTAATACCAATAAATTGTTATGATTTTATCGAATATTTTTTACAATCACAGGACATTCCTATAGAAAGAGGAACTTCAGTTATTTTTGGTGGATTAAAACCTAATACCAGCTACACTATTTCGATGGGTATGAGGAATGGAGTAGGTTCTGGACCTATGGTACAAACCACCGTATCAACTTCTCCTAGACCCAAAAGTATTTATCGTTGAAATATTGAAAAAGAAACAAATGATTTGATTTAATTCTTACTTTTTTAGTTGAGCGTAGTCAAAAACCGATTTTAATTTTAACTGCCAATCATACCGTTGTTCAGAGGGGCGTCAACATACTAGACGAAACAAAAGTACTGTACAGTACTAATTATAATAAAATTATCAGAGGCAAGGATCATGACATGAATTATATTTCTTTTATGCCTTATATTCAACATTATAGGTACTGCCATTCACATTAGCAAACAGGTCCTTTTCATCTCTGTTTCTTCAAGATCGTCGGAAAGCATTCTTCGTATGAACTTATCAGAGAATAAAAATAAAAACGTTACTGTAGTCTTATCCAGTACAGAAACACATAACACTGACTTTAGGCCTCGTGATCTTTCTGTCGACTGGTTAAACAATCAACTTTACATTCTTGGTGAAACTTCTGGTCCCAAAAAGACTTGGCAGGTCACAAGATGCGACTTGGATGGAAAAGGAATTCAAGTTGCTGTCGCTGGACTTCAAGAGAAACCCCACCATATGGAAGTTGACCCGTGCAACGGGTAAATGCAAATTCTAATTAATTCACTATATTTATTTAACAGATTCAAAGAAAATGCCTTCATTAATTCCAGAATTAAATACTTTTTTTATCTAAAACCGTTTCACCACTCCAACTCTTCATCATGTGGATGAAATATAATGAACTAAATTCAATTGTAATTCGTTCAATTGATGAAGTCACGGAGTGACCAAACGAACGTAGATGGTAGAGGAACTGCGTCATATTTGGAATACTACTTTGTTTTTTGAGGATAAATTTAAAGAGAAACGGGATGGCTCAATAGAAAATAAATTAAACTATTGACAATTTATTAAACTTTAATAATAAAAACAATCAAACATAACAAAAACCAGAAACATTATCAAAATGCCTATCAAACAAAAAACTTCAAAAATTTAGATTTGACTGCAGCACATTTTTTTGACATTTGCTAACACTTTTCCTTAGAAACCAATAGATTTCTTATCTTTGTAACAACTTTATAGTCTTTAGATCTTTAGGTAATCAATCTTTTTTAATCAAAATAAACTAAAATAATATCTAATTAATTCCAAACTATGCTGTCTTTCGGTATTCCAAACTAACAACATACCACCCTAACATAAAATTCCAAGTCACATTTTAAATTCTAGGTATATTCACAATATCATAGTAATATCATAAACTAACAATACTATGAAGATTTAAAGTATTACAATAAATGATTATCACTGATTGCATTCTTACCGAAATTGTTTTCAAAACAGGCATCTCTTCCCTTGTGGCTGGTAGCTGAAATGCCAAAGTGGCATCCAGTTTTTCATACTCGATGTCTTCATGTGTCCTGCAGTATCCCAAATATGCTGCAGTTCCTCTAATAAAAATAATTTTGAAACTTGTAAAAGCCTTTTATCTTGTTACATTAAATATGGATAATAGTAACATTTACGCCTCTTAATTTTTATGTATTTAATGTTACTTTTAGATTTCTGTTTTGGGTTACTTACAATGGTCTTTACCGATTAGATTTAGCCGATATTAGCAATGGCCTAAAACACGAACATCAACCTTTAAAAATTCTCTCCATTCTCGATTTAGGAGCATTTACTATAGATTGTATAAATTATCGTTTGCTCGTGGCTAGTCAGCGGGATAATACTGTAATGTCAGTGTCTTTAAACGGGTAAGACATTCATTTCGATTATTAAAGTATAGTTCGTCCTTCAATATTATGTTATTCAGAAAAGAAATCGAAAAGATGAGCAAGAACATAATCAAAGCAAAAATGCAAAAGGTGCTATCCATTGCAACAGTAAACCAACTTTTCTACTGGACCAACGGCGATGAGCTTTTTTATGAAGCATATCAAAACGCCACTGATACTCACTACCATAATAATTTACCAGATCCGTTAGATAGAAAATATCACAATATTATTATTAGTCATCCTGATTCTCAACCAATTCCAAGTCCTGTTAATCCCCCAACCGCTTTGCAAGCCATTTTTGGAAACGATTTGGCCAAAACCACGTGGCAAGCTCCCCATTTACTTGGTTTTCAAGGTGATTGAGTGAAAAAGCGTCAAAACTTCAGAAATCACTTCCTTTTTCACATTCCAGGCAAAGGAGCATGGCAAAACTGGACCTACGCAATATCAGTGATTGATACCAACACCAGTCAATTTTTTAATTACACAAATATTAGTACCACTTCTTTCGTTATACGGGATCTTAAACCTGATACAGAATACGTAATAAATGCTGTAGCATATACGGAAGGTGGAATAGGTCAATGGTCCAAGGAATTTCGAGGAAGAACTCTTAAGCTTTCTAGAAGTAAAAAATATCCTACTATATTTTGGTCGGCATCGGAAGGCGTGTTTATCTCTGACACAACTGGTGGAAATGTGGAAAAACTCATTCCACAATCATATTTCAAAAATAATCAATTTACTGATATCAAATGGTACAATGACCAAATCTATATGGTGACCAATACATCAAGAATATTTTCATATAATTTAACAAGTCGTACTGGTGAATTTCTAACTAATATTGAATCAGTGAGTAGTGTCGCAATTGATTGGATTGGTAAGAAATTGTACTGGTCCAATCCTAAACAACAAGTCGTAAGTTAAATGTTAACAAAGTTTGGTCCTATCAGAGTTCCTGATTTTGAATTGTGTTTAATTTTTAGATAATACGAGGGAACCTAAATGGCTTTCACCAAGAACCATTGCCAATTTTGAAACCGGTAAAGGAATTATCAATCGATCCAGTGAGAGCATATTTGTACTGGTCTACGGGTTACGAAGTTGAATGTGCCCATCTAAATGGAGCTGACCGCATTACATATTATTCAACAAAATCTTTTACAATACAAGGTAAAATATTACTTTGGATAAATTGTCATTGTAAAACAAGAAAGGTAATTGAATTTTAGTAATGGGTTTAACACTGGACTTTGATCATAATTCAATTTTTTGGATTGTGCGTGGTTCAAACGGATCCCAACTTTATCAAGCTCCGTTAGCTGGTATTGATACATTAAAAAATACTCCTCCTAAAATTTTTAATTTAACAGACCCGTATATGCAAGGACCCCTTTGTTACTTCAACAATAGATTGTTGTGGTTACAAAATGACAAAAATGCTATTATTAGTAATTTAACTGGTAACAATATGGCAAGACTTGGAGGCAAGAGTTTGTACGGGCTTACTACGTTTACAGTCATGGATTCCGATCTACTTCAGTGGCCTAGTAAGTTGGAAATATGGTTTTCCTTATAATCCTTCATGTAATTATTGTATTTACCCTTTTAGATATTTCACTAGAAACCCTCAACGTTTTACCAGAACAAGTTATTCAAAGCTCAATTCAGGTACGTGGAATGTGGGATTCGTTTTATATAGAATGGAAACCAGTAGATAATGTAAACTATGGCACTGTGTTTTATGAAATTCGAGTGGACGTTATCCAAGGAAATTTTCACGATAACACCGATGGATCTGAAGTTCAAGTAAATAGATAAATAATAGCTAAATGAAAGAACAATTCAACCAAAAAAATAAAATTATTGGCATTTCTTAATGCTCTTTATCAACCAAAAATAACTTTATTTTAGGTTGTAACAAAAACGCCTTCAATTAAGTATTGGAAAAAGGTTGCCCCATTTACAAAATTAATGATTAATTTGAGAGCTTATACATACTGGGGTATTTCACCAATCACCATTACTGAAATATATTCTCCTTCATCTACACCCTCGTCTCCAACTGATCTCAGAGTATATATTACTCATGAGTATCCCCACTTTGAATACAAAGACGTCAGAGCAACATTCAGATGGAATCCCCCCCTTTATTCAAATGGCATTATCAAAGGGTATAAAATCAAATGTTGGTACAACAGCAATGGTTCTGACATAATTGTAATTAACAACAGTACTGCTGATGCGAATCAAAAAGAATATTACTTAGAAAACCTTTTGAAGAGTCAGAAATATTTCTTCCAGGTAACGTTGAATATTCATACATAAAGTTTACTGTTTGACAAATCATTATGTTTTCAGGTTCAAGCATTTACAGAAGTAGGAGATGGAGAGATATCTCCAACCATTTCAGTAAATACTAGTGACGAATATCCTGTACCAAAACTCCTAGTCGCTTCAGAAGATTCGATTTTTATTCAAGATATCGATAATAACCAAAACTATTCGATTTTACATGGAATTAGTACTCCAGTGGAAATGGCATTTCTTATTAAAGAAAAGAAACTGTTTTGGATAAACAAAATGCAGGAACTATTTATGTACAACATGGAAAATCATAAGAAATCAAAGTTAGTAGATTTGAATAACTCTTGTTTAAGTTTAACAGTCGATTGGATGGAACGAAGTCTATATTATCTCGAAACAAATAGCATAACTGAATCCACAATATACAAACTAAATCTTAATCACATCGATAAAGGACTTTCTAAAATTGAAACGATCTTAACAACATCATCGGTCATTTCAAAAATCGAAATATCTCCATTTACAAGGTAATCATTGAATTCATAAAAGATTTATAACATTAGATACAAAATTTTTTAGAAAACTCTACTGGGTGGAAGAAAACTACTTTGGTGAGAATCATATAATGCAAAGTGAATTAAACGGCTCTGATATCCGTCCTTTCTTCGTACAACGATCTCACAATAAAAGATCGTTGGAAAGCGAAGAAGAGGAATCCTGTAACTGTCCAGTATACCCAAATGTAGAAAAGACCTTCACCGTTGATCATTCCGACTCCAAAACAAAACCGGCAATAATCTTCATCGACAGTGATACCCACGCCATAACCTCATCCGATAAAGACGGTTGCCACTGTGAAATTTTAGCAAACCATCAGGTTGTTGGAGACAGTTTTCCATTACAAAAGCTTAAATCAGACTTTAGTAATTTGTATTGGACGAATAAAACACAAGGTCACCTTTATTCTTTAAGAAAGAAAGAACTGAACGTTACCAAAGGTCAAGAGATATCTGATGCCCACGACATGCAAATATATGGATCCCACATGCAACCATATCCTGAAGGAAAATGTTTAGTTCCTGAATACAAAAAAGATACAACCATATCCCTTGTGCATGCGACGTCTCACAGTCTTACACTCGCTATGCCCGAGGTCACTTTAAACAAAGATTGCGAAAATGTATCTCAAGCTACTGTAGAATATACCATTCATTACAAACAGTACCATGAGAACGATCTAAACGAATGTTTCGGCGACTGTTCAGAAATAAAAACATTAGAAAAGGTATTAACCATTGATGGACTCAAACCATTTAGTAAGTACAGTTTTTGGGTAAGTGTCAAGAATTATTTTATGGAATTAATGAAGACTGAATCCCAGAACAGACATTCAATCATAATACAAACCTCTGCAGGTGGTAAGTATCATTATCTATTTTTATTTTTTGCTTGCTATTTTAATATCTTTTTGCAGCTCCCTCGAAACCCCGAAACGTATCGGCGACTGTATTAAATCCAAATATGGCAGAAATCGTCTGGGCTCCACCGGAAAAATTGAACGGAGAATTTGTTTCATACGAAATACATTGGCAAACAGAAAGCACGCACGGAATAAGACAAAAAGGAGAACAAGAAGTAAAAAACCTCCAAAAACATGTTGCAAATGATACATTATTCACATCAACTCTTAGTAAATTAGCACCAAACGAAACTTATTCAATATGGATTAGGGCTAAGAGCCAGACAAACGAATCATTCAACGACAGTGACAGTATAATTGTTAAAACTTTCCCCGAACCTTCGGAAATAAGTTTGCTCAATGCAACAGCTACTACTTTGCAAATAATTTGGAAACCTTACACTTATGCAGAAAAAGTTGATATACAGTATTCGCTACTTGCATCCAATGTTTGGAAAGATATTTCTGAGGATAGGGTTGAATACGATGGAAATGATACTATAATTATAGTGGACGATTTAAAACCCAAAACGCAGTACAAGTTCAGAATGAAATTGCTGTATCCTTTATATTCAGAACCACATTATTGGCCACATGATGTGCGATTTATATTTGAAACGCTGGGTAAGAAAATTAAATTGTCTATACTTTCTCATCATCATCATAAGGTCGTCAGTCCTAAGACTGGTTGGACACGCATCTCCACTCTTTCCTATCCTGCTCTAATCTTCGCATTTCCCTAAAGCTAGAACAATCCACATCCTTAACTATTTGCGAACAGTAATCTAATCTAGGTCTACCTCTACTCCCCTTAACTCCCGTTTCTGCCTCTAATACGTCTTTGACTAGACCTTCATGCCTGAGAAGGTGTCGTACTAACTTAACTCGCCTATTTCTTATTGACTTCCATACAGTCCTCTGCTCTCTTACTCTTTCTAATACCCCTTCATTTCTAACCTTCTCTATCCACGGTATCCTCATCATTTGCTCGTAACACCACGTTTCGAAAGCTTCTAACCTTTTCTTTTCCGCCGCGTCTACTGTCTATGTTTTGCACCCGTACAGCGCCACGCTCCAAACATACACCTTTTTCGGATTTCTAAATTAACCGTTCGCGAGCATAGAAGTGACTTCTTTTTATTGAAGACGACTAGATCCTGCGCTATCCTCTGCTTTATATCCCTACTACTCCTTCCGTCCTGACTTATCTGACTTCCTAGATACCTGAAATCGGTCACTTCTTCTAATTTTTCGTCTCCTATCTTTATACATTCTACTTTAATTAATCGCCCTATCGTATAATAATCGTTTGAACAGATGTTAATAATTTCTTCCCACTAACTATTATTATTAAAATCCCTACATATCACAACTTTTCAATTCATTTTAAGGAGACAGACCTTCTCCACCCGGAAGGCCCTATTTACAATTAAAAAGTGGAAAGTTTATTGTAATGTGGGAGAGTCCGAAAGATAATGGTGCAGTAATAGAACTTTATAAATTGGAAGTGATGGAACTTTTATACTATAACGAACGCAGGAAAAGAAGTACCGATTATGACAATAAAGCTGCTATAGAAGAATTCAACTACACCTGGACAGAAATTTACAATGGAACTGGTAAATAGGATTATAACAATAACGTTTTTATATTTATTTATCATACTTTTAACTTTTTCTATTAGAACCAGCCTGGGAAATAGCAGGCCTTAAAGAAAAAAATCACAAATATGTATTTCGAGCGTCCGCTCTAAATATGTATGGTTGGAGTGCGCCAAGTAATGAAAGTGATATGTACGACCCTGTTGAATTCGCTAAATTGAACAAGCAAGACCCGATGACGTTAATAATAATTGCAATAACTGTTCCTTTGGCGTTTTGCATTGTTTCCATCATATGTTTCGTTTGTTGTAAGTACTTCTTAAAGCTAAAATAAATCCTTCATTTAATTTTCATCTTTCATTTTCTACTAAAACTCTTCTAGAAAGTCTATCCTTTCTCCACACAAGCTGTTTAAATAAATATCTTCTACTGAACTTTCTTTTTTAAAAAAAATATTTTCAAGCAGGTTCCGTTTACAGAATGAGAATTCTACTTCTATACGTAAATTACATACCTGTACATATATGTATGTATATATAGATTTAAGGTGCATACTATGATTTTATGTACCATATAATTGAGCATATAATTCACAAATGAAAAGTTACAGTAATCAGTTCATCTGCTCTCATTTTTATCAATTTTTATTTGTATACGTACTAATTTGAGCAAAAGTGATATTTTCAGGCAAGCTGCAGTGTGCGAAAGATAAGAAATCTAAGCAGCAACTCATCCTTTCACCAAGACCAGATGTGGAACTTGCTACCCTTCGAGAACTGCCACGACGAGGAATCCACAGTACCAATATCCTATATGTACCGAATCAGCCTCTTCTGGAGGATGCAACAATGTTACCCCATATAAGAAGGCAATTTTTTTTACTTTTATTAAAAAATGTATTTTAATGTTGCTGTCTTACAGAGATTGCATCACACTGACAAAATTTTTGGGAAGTGGTGCATTTGGAGAAGTATTCGAAGGAAAAGCACGCGGTATTTTGGCAAATGGTGCTGAAGTAAAAGTAGCCGTGAAGGTAACACGATAACTAATTTTTGATTTCTTAGATTTAATTGTATTTTTGTAAAGGCATTAAGGAAAGGAGCCTCGGATTCAGAAAAGTGCGAATTCCTTCAGGAAGCACAATTGATGAGTCATTTTAAACATGAACATATTCTTCAGCTTCTGGGTGTTTGTTTGGATAATGATCCTCAATTTATTATAATGGAGCTAATGGAGGGTGGAGATTTGTTAACTTATTTAAGGTCATCGAGAAATCCATCAGTAATTCATTTATTTTTTTTGTCGGAGCTATTTCTACAATATACTATTTTTCAGTTAAACACATCAAGCCTTTCATTGCTTGACTTGCTGAAAATGTGTGTAGACGTTGCGAAAGGATGTAAATATCTCGAAGAGATGCATTTTGTACATAGAGATTTGGCTTGTAGAAACTGTCTAGTTTCGTCAACTAACCGAGAGACCCGAATTGTAAAGATAGGAGACTTTGGACTAGCAAGAGATATTTACAAAAATGACTACTATCGAAAAGAAGGTGAAGGTCTTTTGCCAGTAAGATGGATGGCACCTGAATCTCTAGTCGATGGAGTATTTACTAGTCTCTCAGATGCGTGGGCTTTTGGAGTTCTTCTATGGGAAATAATGACCTTAGGACAACAACCATATCCAGCTCGCAATAATTTAGAAGTTCTTCATTACGTTAAAACTGGAGGTCGATTAGGAAAACCACAACATTGTCCAGAGACTCTGTAAGGATTAGATAATCTTTATTGAGATACTCCTGAAAATTAACTTGTTTTTATTTCCAGGTACGATCTAATGCTAAAATGTTGGTTATATGAACCAGAAAGAAGACCGAGTTTTAAGAATTGCCTTTATGTCCTCGAAGACTTGCATACGCAAAAGAAAAATGATCCTGTTACTGGTGCTCACGAAGGACAGTACATCAGCACGGTAGAAGAGAGTAAGTACTAGAAGAAATATTTTTTTAAATCATCATTAACCATGTCCATTTTGTAAGCGTACTCCTAACCAAATGCATGATAATAATGAAAATGTCAATGATTGCAGTGCCTTATGGAGTATCTAATCAAGCATATTTTCAAGACGAAATCATTAATTCAGGTAAAAATACTAACCGCATACCTACCTTAATTTATTGTCATGCACATTAAACACATAGGTACCTATTATATTATTATAAGTTTTAACCAAGCTTTCCTCATATTACTGGATAATTCGTTTATACATAGATAACATCAGTTTCGATATTTACTTTGTAGAATCTTCTTGGAAAAGCGATGGTAGTGGTGGGGATATAAACAAAGAAAGGACACCTTTCCTGCAAAACCTGAATGGTAATTTACCTTCTGAGGGAGCACAGGATAATATTCCTAAATATCTCGAGCTGATTTATGATAGTGATAGTCAAGTAGAAGACGCTAGAAGTAACATAATGGAGGATCGCTATTTGGATAAAGACGGTTATGAGATTCCAAGGACTGATAATCCTAAAGAAGGAACTGTATCCGTTACGAATAAAAATGTAAACAAAATAAATAATGAAAACCAAATGCTATAAAGCTAATTGATCATCATTTTTTAAACAAACGGTGAAAAAATATAAATTACTTTTACACCGAAAATGTACAAAAAGGGAAATCGCAACCATGAATAGAGAAATGTACCTGAATTAAATATTAAGGAAAGTATATCCTAAGTAATGTAAATAAATAAAATTTTGCTAATCATCCTCATGTATTTGAAAAGCTAGGTATTTTATTTCACATGTATATATATTATAAGCAGAGTTTTTTAGTGGTTTCTTTTACTATATCAAATAAATTACCTAGTTGAAACTATATTTGACTGCCAAGTGTACATAAAGTTCCTTGCTTAAGTTTTCGTTTTCTCTTATAAAACGGGTCCCACATGTAAAATTGCAATGTAATGAGCATACAACATATTCTACCTTTAATTAAAATACCTATACATTATACATGACGTTTATCAAACATGTTGTAATACAACTTTCTGTAGACAAATGATATTTTTTCCTGTATATATTATTATATATGTATTTACTTAATTTATTGTGACGCATTATACTAGAAAATAACTCAAGAATAACCATTACGGTTTACCTGTTCCATATGGAGTTGCTTCTTTTTTTATTTTTAAGAACATATTTTTATTTTAAGTTACTATTAATGACACAAAAAGACTCGTAGTATTAATAAACTGTCGATATATGTAAATACAAAGCTATAAATCAGATGTATGTAAACGGAATCGTTCAAAGTTTAATAAAAAAATAATAGCAAAATCCTGGATTTTTATATTGTGTTGATTTTGATTGGTTCGGATTATGAGTATCTTACAATTTGAAAACACAAGTCTATAGGTACAGTAGTCGCCAATGATAGTCTAACGTATACATACGTATTTAGTATTTAGGAAGGTAGATCTGTAAAATCATACTGTTCAAGACTAAAGTTAGCAAAACGAACGATTTACAAGTCTTCTCTCGTTTTGTATTGTAAAACAGATGAAAAACTTTTAAATTTTAAAATTTACTACCGACATTTTCATGCTTGGAACCCCCCCACCACCCAATGTGAGTACTCATTACCTAAGCAATAATGCAAAAGAAGACAAAGTTTTTTATTTTATTCCTTTATTTACAAGATTTAACTACACTGATGTCCAATAACATGTCATATTATGAAATAGAATTAATGCACTATAGATATATACGAACGCATTTGCTAAATTTATTTTTCTCAAAGAATCCAATGGCGAGTTGGAAACTTCAAAGACCTATAGAAAAAGGAAAAAATTTGCTTCGTTATACATTAATAGTAAAAATTTCTTTTAACTCAGAACTTAAGAAAAGATGAACATGGTTAAATCTGACAATGAACACATTTTCGAGAAATCTAAAAATAGACTAACACAATTTTTGAAGAAAATGCTGTACCATGGCTCTTAACATTAAGCTTTAAATAACAACTGTATGAGATTTTTCAAAACATTTTTCACAGAAGAACATATATTATTCTGTTTGTTATTTAAAGCTAAAGTAGAGTAGTTCAATAAAAAGCATATTAAGCATTACAAGCATATATAGTAAGTTTCGACTTACCACATTTTTTTAGTTAATTATCAGGTTCTTCCTTAACGGCAACTTCCTCTTCTTCTTGTTTGACATCATCATCAAGACCTTCATCTTTACTGTTTTCATGTAGCAAAACATATTCTCTCGAGCTAAATCCAAATTTTATTACATCCTTCTCTAATAACTCGATGTACTTTTTTGGTTCAATTTTTTTATTGTTAATATAAGTTCCGTTTGCTGATTCCAAATCAATCAAATAAGGTCTGACTCTTTTACCAGATGAACCATCATCTCGGGTAAAGGGTACCAAACGATACTGCAAGACAGCATGCTGTTTTGAACAGGAAGGGTGATCAACAGGCAAATCAACAACTTTTCGATCACGTCCAATGAGGTAAGCGCTTTCGCGGTGGATGTAAAGAGTTTGCAAGGCCTTCTCGCCCTTGAAGGGATAGAGTCGCCATCTTCGTTTTGGTTTACGAGCTTCTGGTGGTTCGCTATATTTAATGACAACCCCTCTATAAGTGTTGGTCTCTTCAGTCAGTTTACCAGAAAGGGCAAAGTTAGGCTTTTGTTTCTCCACCGGTTTAATTTTGTCTTTCTGAATGGTTTTTGAATCCCCTTCTTTACCCCATTTTGCATTTGCATGATCAAAAGACTTGCTTCGACTCCTTCTATTCCTTGGAATGAAATGAAAAATATGTTATTAATGTCTTTACAGACTAACCCTATTAGCTTAAATATTTTTTTACAAGAAGTATTTTTACCTCTCATTATTCCTAATAAACTTAGGACTTCTTCTCCTCTGCCTGCCTGGGCTCCTGTTCCTATTAGATTTTCCATAATGCTTTTCATAACCATCATGCTTCCATCTTTCATCTTCTATAGTGTTTCCCTCATTTCTTCTTTTATCAACATTATCTGCACTATACCTATTTTGATACCGATTTTGTTCTTTTTCTCTTTCCCTTCTTTTTTCATCTCGACTATCTCTATCTCTTCTGCCATCTTCAATTTCTCTTCTACTATCTCTACCCCTATCTCTTCTACTTTCTTCTCTTAATCTTCTTTCTTCTTCTTTCTCCCTCTTTGAATCACTATCTTTCATATTCCCCTTGTCTTTCCTAAACTGTTCATTGCCATAATTTCTTGATACTTCTTTAGTTTCTTTCTTATATTCATAGTATTTGGACTTTTCTTCTATTTCACTGTGTTTATGTTTGTCATATTGAGAATTTTTATCATCTGATTCTTTATCCTTCTGTTCCTTGTCTTCTTTTAACCTGTGCTTCTGTTTGTGCCTTTTGCTTTTTTCTTTCTCTATGTCTGAACTGACATCTCGTTTCCTGCTGTATATGTAAGTACAGAACATTAAATAAAAGTATACTGGAATAGAAAATAATAAAATTAAAATTACTAATAGATTATCCACTCCAAACAGATAACAAAAACTCTAAAAATCTTTCCACTTTTATTCCCTTTATTGCAACAACGAAATAAATGAAACAAATAAATCTCTTTTAACAACAAACATTACCTTTCTTTTTCCTTGATTTTATGTTTCTCTAGTTTGGTCTGGGGTTCATCTGAATCGGAATCTGATTTTCTGGACTTTCTATTCTTCCTTTTTAAAACATTCTTTTCATCATCATCTGAAGCAGGGACTTCAAAATCCCTTTTTTCTTTTTCTTTGCGATTCTTGCGATTATCAGAACGACATTTAAGTTTTCTTTTTTTCGAAGAGTATCCAGATGAAACAGAACTTTCCGAGTCTGAGCTTGACGAACTAAAACTTTCAACACTACTGCCTTCAGAGCTTTCTGATTCGCTTTCAGAATACTTCTTCTTTTTCGATCTTATCTTCATTTTGTTTAGGGAGAATCAAACAAAAATCTTACACTTTCTACTTTCTACCTCCCAACCTTCATGTATATTAAAAAAAAAATTGAATTATTTCAGCGCTTCAAATTCTCGAAAGTACTACTACCACTTGAAAAACATTAACTTGAAATCAAAAACTGTTATTGATAACAACGAATAACTACAATATACGAATAAAACCCATTTATATCTACAACTGTTTATAACCCACAAATGCTTATACCATAGTGTTTATACGTCATGAATCATAGGCCATAGACAAATTATACGCCATAGATAAATTTATATGTCATGGTTATTCGGTTATACGCATAGATTGTTATACGACATAGATAATAGATATACAAAGGGTAATACCATCGACGTTTACTAATGGACGTACCTTAGCGGCCAGAATTGTGGTACAACAAAAGAAAGAGATGGAACGAAGTTTCAGACAATATCCATCTCTCTTACGGTAGTGCGTAAGCATGTCATGAAAGAGATAGCGCTAGTCTGAAACCATATGTCATCTCCCTCACTTTTCGAGCTAAGAAATTATTATAACGACATACGGCCAAGGCACGTCCATTAATATATGTCTATGGGTAATACGATTAAAAAATCTATTACTATGCGTTTTTAAATTGAAGTCGTGTGCAGGAAATAGGCTCTTCGACTAATGTGACCCTGATAGATATGTGCGGAGACTGAGGCCGAACTGGCTCTTCACTTCCCTCCCTTCTCTCTTACAAACTACCAAACTATATCTAAGATGGTAACCGGTAACCCTAAAGCTACAACCATTCTCACACAGTTCAGTCGTTTAAGAAAAAAATAATGAATTTTTAACACTCCTCCTTCATTATTTTTGAGCGTAGACTTTTAAATGTCTTAGGAGACAATGCCTTGGTGAGAATGTCAGTCAGCTAGTCAGAAGTGTCAACGTGCTGCAGTTCAATTGTCCTCCCAACGTGCTGTTTAATTAACTTTCTTACCCTTCGTAATTTTTCCTTCTGGGCATGTGAATAGCAGACCGACTGGTAACGTACAAAGTAGTTGGTTTGTCTAAATTCATGATGTCTAGTTCACTGCTTCTCGATATTCCGCTTCTGCGGTTGATGTTGCCACGAGTCTCTGTTTTTACCAAACGATTGGTCCACCGCGCATTATAAGGATGCTACTTGTTGAGCGACCAGTTGACCTGTCTCCTCGGTAGTCCTAATCTGTTTAATTTATTAAGTTTTTGTGTCCGTCAAAATGGATGACGTAGTTTGCACTTCCTCTAAGATAAGCAAAGACCCGTTTTGTCATTTTCCAGTGACTTTCCATGGGTCCACTGCAAAATCTGCTTAGGTAGTTTACAGTGAAGCTAATATCGGGTCGTGAGATTGTTGCCAGATATAACAGACTTCCGACAATGGCTTTTCATTTATAAAGTTCTCACCTTCTGTCATCATTCCACGTTCCATTGGAGTGGGTGTCAAATTCAAAGAATTGAATCCAAAACGCTATAAAATCTTTTTGGTATATTTTGGTTGGTTTATGAAAGTTCCTTTATGATTTAGTTTTAGTTCCATACCAAGATAAGAAAGTTTATTTCGTCGATTTTCTTATTTCTTGTTTAGCTTATCCAGAACTTTTATTTCTTCGTTGTCGTCACCCACAACGAGTCCATATAATGCGAGAATAACTATCTTGTTCTTATTATAGTAAACACACATCATCTATGTTGACGAATCCCACCGCCTTAAAAAAGGTTAAGAATTTCTCATTCCAATTTTTTGGTGCTTGCTTCAGTCCTTAAAGACTGAGTTTGCAGATAAGGTCACTGTAGTCCTTGAAACCTTCGAGTTGAAACATGTAAATATCCTCTTTCAGGTCTCCGTGAAGAAATGTTCTTTTGACATCAAAAGTCATTAAGTGCATGTGGCTGGAGACTGCAAGACTCAAAATCAAGCGAATAAAGACATGACATCAAGCGAATAAAGACATGACGTGCAACCGGACTAAATGTTTCGGAGAAATCAATGTCTGCCTCCTGCTGAAGGCGTCCAACGACCAGTCTAGCTTTTTTTCTTTCTTCTTGTTTTTAAGTAAAACCCAACGACAGGTTAGAGGTTTAAGACCTTCTGATCTTTTGACAAAATTCCACGTCTTCATCTTCATGAGGAAATCGAACTCTTTCTGCATGGCTATGAGCCACTCTTCGTCTTTCAAGGCAGAAGAGTGGCTCATAGCCATGCAGAAAGAGTTCGATTTCTGCATGGCTATGAGCCACTCTTCGTCTTTCAAGGCAGAAGAAACAAGGAGTCTAGCACTTCTCTGATTATCGCTACATTTGTATTTAAATCTAGATCCATTACGTAATCTACATATCTCGATGGTACTTTCAAGTTTCGACGATCGCGCAAAATTCTGATCGAAACTTCTTTTTCTTCTACGTTATCCGATGATGAGTCAAAGTTTTCTGAAGCATCAACATAAATAAGCTCATTTATTTCCCGCTCAAATTTTCGTTCTTTTCATTCAATGTTGAACTCCATTTCAGTGGGTGTATTTCCAGTTTCAGGATTTTCATCAAAAATGACATTTTCAAAGCTGATTACTTTATTTTCTTCCTGCATATAAACTATGAAACTTGGCGAGTCCAAATCATAACCGACAAGTATTCCCTTTCTTGATTTCTTTTCAGTTTTGCTCCGCCAGTGATCTTGAATAAAAAAATAGCACTCGCAACCAGAACTTCTTAGACTGTTTATCAATTCAGCTGGACATTTTTTTTTCACGCAACTAGTTCCAGTTTGGTCAATTGTAGATATAGCATAATTTATTGCTTCAGCCCACAGGATCTCATTAAAACTGTTTGCATGTAGAACTGATGGTGCTGCTTCAACAACGGTGCACATTTCCTTTTCGATGCTGTCATTTTTTTGAGGTGAGTAGGCGTTTAACTTACTGTGAAATATCCCAATTTCTTCCAAAAGTTTCTTTACATCATTGTTGATTATTTATTTTCCGTTGTCTGAACAGAATTTTGACTTTCCGTCCAAATTGATTTTCAACCATTTTCATAAAGTTTTCACATTTGACAGGTGTTTCATCCTTATTAATCAAGAAAAACACGGTTTTGAAATGTAAAAAATCATCCTCTAATAGTAAAAAATACTTGGCTCCTCCTAAAGATTTAATATTCACTAAGGTCTACATGAACCAAATCCAGAGAATGCTCTGCTGATTTTCATTTCTGAGATGTAGTTCACGATGACATTTCCCATAGTCACATCCGGGGCAGACGTAATCATTCGAGTCATCAATGTAGTTAACATGGTTCTTCTTCTTCAGGATGTCGCGGACATACTTGACATTTTTCTGTTTTTCGTATCATGTTTTTGATGGAAATCACTACCATACACTTGCCAGACTTTTCCCGACGAAACAGCATTGTATACAATCTATTTTTACGTACAGAAATTGCCAGTCTCTTCTGTGTCGACAGTCTTGAAAAGACATTAACTTGCATCAGTACTTTGATTTGTATCCTTTTGTCGAACAGTTGACTAACTAAAAACAAAATAAAAGTTAGCTTGGGTACGAGTAGTACATTCTTCAGAACCACTTTATTCTAATTCTTCCCATCAAACGCTTCCACTCTAACATTTCGCACTCCTGCCTCTTCAAGCTCTGTAGCATCACCCATGAGAACTTTTGTTGGTTCGTCAAATTCGATGTAATCAGTTAGCCACTGTCTTTCACTAAACTTAACATGTCTTCTATATCTGCATAAATCGCTTCTACGTCTTCATAATTGTAAGATGAAGTAGACATGTAGACCTGTACTATTACCGTTTTTATCGGCTTCGAGTTTAATTTAACCATAACTATCCTATCGTTTGTTTGTAAATAACTTTCTTCGGACTTCACTAATGCCTACTATATCTAATTCTAGTCTATTCATTTTAACTTTCAAATTCTCTAATTTCCCTACTTACCTCATTCCACGCTTCGACTAGTGAAGTATTGCACCTTCCCCTATTGCACTTATTGATGACATCCCCCGAGATAGTCCCTACCCGGACATCCAAATGGGGACTAGTTTACATCCGGAGTGCTTTACCCCAGAGGACGTCATCATTTGAGTTCGATTTGTTTATCTTGGGATATCATAATGTGGTGGTTTCCCGTTGCCTTTCACATCGCAGTACTGTACATCAGAGTGTCATACCGATCCTCGTTATCTCTGCCACCCTTAGTATAAAAAGAGCTGCTGCCGCTGTTGCAGGGACTTTTGTCTTAATCTGGTTTCTCTTTAAGAATTGATCAAATTTTTATTACATAATAATTTATAATATTTTATGTGTATTCACAATCAGAAACTTGTGAGATTCATAAGACAAATTATCTTTTTCAACGGTATACTTGTTTATAGTGTTTAAACTGTAAAAAAAGATAGTTTCACACTGATTTTCGATGTTCAACCCAGTTGTCGATAAATGTAATAATGAAAAATATTATACTTAATTGTTTTTTTAACAAAAAAGAAAAGTAAAAAAAGCAAACAAAAGGCAAAAGAAGAAAAGAGAAGGAAACCTACATATGTTCTTTCTAATGCTTATTGTGTTTAACTCATTACGTAAATAACGAATAAAAAAGTAATAGGTATATGAATAATAATTTATTGAACAATTCTTCAAACGGGAGAGTATTTAAATTCATTCATGCTTATATAAAATAGTACATAAATAAACTCTTATATTAGTTTAATCAGTCCATAGTGCATATGAGATATATGTATGTGTATGATGATGAGTAATGAAACGATGATAAAATTTGTATCGCTTTAAAATATGAATGAGATATAAAATATTATAAAATGTTGAACACAATAATTTTTAAGTACCAATTACAGCAGTCTTATTTTATCACATCATTTCTGATGCCTTTTAGGGCTACAGACTGATTAACATACATTTCTGTTTTTGTAAGGAACTGTGAATGTAGGCTGTAGAAAACTGATTCATAAATCCCCAAGTTCTTAACATTTATAAAATAATATAATTTAAATGTGTATCACACCTTTTATTAAAAAAAAAAAAAAATTCGCTAGTACGGAATTGATAACAATATTTAAAGAAAACTAATGAATTTAAACAATCATTCCATTCAAAAGGATTCTTATTGGATGCTACATATGAAATTGAAAATTCAGAGACATTTCGGTCATCAATGTTTTGCGACTCTTATCAATCTATATCATGCTTAATTCTGTCTAAATAAAAAAAAATACATAAATGACAAAAACAATATTGTAAAGTAATATTACGTAAAGGAAAGTTAGTATCAGTAATTTCTCATGCTGAAGTGTACGATGTGTTGCATACCTATTTACAAACAATTGCTTTAAATTTTAATCATTGATTAGAAAACCATAATGGCCGACATCAGTGACAATGCGACAACAATTAAAAAAGAATGATGGCCGACAACTGCAACAATGACAAAAGAATGATGGCCGACATAGTGGAGCAATAAAAATGGCCGGGGGCAGGGGGAAGAACTAGTTATTAGTAAAGGAAATTGTAACTGACCCCAAACTTCAAGTAATTAACACCTGCTTGGTTTAAGAGAAACATTAAAATATCTTGAAGATTGGACATTAACATTACCGTAAAAAAAGAATGTTAATTTCTAATCTTCAAGATATTATAGGTTTTCACTTGAACTAATCGTGATAGATACCGAAAATTTAAAGTCAATTACAATTTCTTAAACCGATAGTGCCCTTTATTTCAGATAGAAGAAACAAAATAGCTCAAATCCCAACGCCAAAACACGACACTTTCGTTGTCCGAAGTACTTTTCGGTAACAAGGTTACTTTCTTGAGGGATTGCAGTTAACTAAACCTAAACATGGCTCAATGACAATAATGGTTGATGTTCAGTGGACCTTGACAACAGTAACAAAAATAATTAAACTGGACTAAATAGAGAAGATCCAGGGATAATACCGTTGTCATTGTTAAGTAAAACTTGTTTATTTTTATAAATGTATAAAGTTTCAAAACTATCTAGTAAACAATTATTCCTAACTTCTTTAACTAAATTAAGAATATTAATATTAATATTATGTTCTTCAGTAAGAATATGTTGGGCAACACTAGATTTTTCCTCTCTACCAAACCGTGCGTGAGCTAAATGCTCCTTAAATCTAGTTTTGATTGAGCGTCTAGTTTGTCCAATATATTTTTTACTACAGTCATTTTAACAACATAATTTAACAATTAAGTATGATAGATTGATAAGAGTCGCAATGTTTTGGTGACCGAAACGTCTCTCAATTTCTAACATCCAATACAAATGCTCTTGAATTGAAAGATCTTTTTAAAATCCTTCAGTTATTACTCTTATTAATATAACAAATCTCGAAAGAAATAGATATCGAAATAAAAAAAAAAACTAAGGTACTTGGTGTTATTCAACCAGAATTCTACCTTATTTAACACTAGGAGTTATAGGTATGATACAACTGTTTCTTTATATTTAAAATATACACGTTTGTATCCAATGCAGCGTATACAGCTATATAAATTTATTACATTATTTCTATAATTATTAATAACACAATAAAATCAAATTCACACATATTAGTCCAGCTAACGCAATACTTTCTAAAACTAGAACAATACAAAAAACAATATGCGATGTTAAAAAAATATTCTTATTAGTTTAAACGATGTCTCACAATTTTATCGAACCCAAATATATATGTAGGTAGCAAAAATATTAACTTTTACTTAGATATGCAGTGATTATTTTCTTAAAAACTCAGGGAAAAAAAATCGCGCACTATCTAATCAATGCTTCTTACAGTTGGCACTTGAAGAGAGAAAAGAGAGAAAGAGAAACGTTGTGAAATTATTGTTTGCTCCTTACCAATGTTAAATATTGTTAAAATGTTATAGATTATTGTCGACTACTGTGAGACTTCCATTTTTTATTACCTACATGATTGTATATATTTGTTGCTCTATTTTCAACATTTTGTGGCACTATTTTAAATATAAAGGTTTAATGAACAAATTAAGTTTATTTCTGAGTATATTAAGTAAACACTAACACACTATTTCAATTTAAAAGTTTATGAAACGTTTTTTTTTTTAAGTAATCAATTTACGGGCGAAATAATTGAAAAAAGGCATAAATTAGGCAAAGGACATCACTTTAGAAGTCAATTTATACCACAAACATACCAGGTTACAACACATAAAAATTGCATAATGTGCAAAACAAACTTCTATTGATGAGCTTCTTATGTGACAGATTTCATGCAGACTTCCCGGCATACTTTATTTGATCTTAATATGTCTCGTATTTATGCGTTCACCCAGATTTTCGAAATTATTTGTTTTTTTTTTTAAGATTCATAAGTAACTTGCATTTTGAGCAATGTATTCTAGTCCAGAATATGGAGTCTTTTCACTAACCGGCTAAAGTTTCGTGAGTGGTATGTCCCCAAACGTTTCTTTAGAATATAAAATGAGACCTACCCGCTAAATATGATCATTAAATTTTATAGGTAACACTTTGTTTTTTTAATTAAAATTCCAAATTATGTATAATAAAAAGTAAATGCGTTTGTTCTACAGAAACGATGGGTTGGATTGTCGCGTTTTGTTGCTAAAAAACTGATTTTTATACTAATATATGGTATAAAAGCGTCAATTTCACGAATTACTTAAACTGATCACTAACTGTAGGACAATCATAACACCTGATAGGTGAGTGTATTCTCTGATCAAACAACATAGTGTCTTGAGTAATGGAAATCCTGATTTTCGACACATTTTGCAAACATATTTGAATATAAATTTCAATTTTCCCTAACTATATGGTATTAACTTTTATTTGGTATCAAAGTGTAATCTCCTTAAATACAGAAACATCTAATAGGTATTGCATATCCCAAAAAATCCTTTTATTACATTCTAGGTGCACGAAATAACGTAAAAAAAATAATCTCTCATCGTAATCAACATCATCATCACCATGAGAAAGTAGTTCTTGTAGTTTTAATTTCAGGGGGAATTTAATTTAATTTAAATAAAAATAAACATGAATAATTGCTCATAAATCAATAGATATTTAAAATGTAACAATAATATTGACTAGCCCCATTTTAAAATATAAAGTTATGAACTTGCAAATATAGAATTAAAAATTAATATAATTTAATATTTTCAAATTTCACTTAAACAAAATCTGTATCACAAATATAAATTCATTACTTTACAAAAATAAATATGTAAAAATATATTCAATCTGCATTTTTAAATTCTATTTTCGCAAACATTCTCACTTTAACGGATAGTAATTACATTATTTTGTAACCAATTATTCTATTTTATTTTGATGAAATATAAAGGTTTTGCAGTAATGCTAAATTTTTGTAATGTTATACTTTAATCAATATCTTCCAATCGCATTTCTTTGTTTTCTTATACATTATCTGGTAATTTAATTGAAAAGTAAAGTGTTATTTATGAAATTAAAAAAGTCGCCAGTTTAACACGTTCAAGAAGTAGGTCTTATTTTCCACGCTACTATTAAGAATTTTGAATGAAAAAAAGAGGGAGACTCGTAAAATCGAAGCCAAGAAACTTTAGCCCGTTACTTTAAAAACGAGACGTGGTATCTTGGACTATTAAATGTCAGTCTTTTAAAAATATAATACAATAACCTATCAAGAGATGGCACAATGAATGGGAGATCAAAAATGGTAAATTAGGCAAATATAGCAAATGAGTGTGAACACACAGTAGCAGTCTTTTATGATAATTCATTAAAAAAATTATGAGCTTATGTGTAGAAGACATACCTAAATAACAAAAATACTGTATGTAGTAGGTATCTTAAATCTTGTACTTTTTATTTTAATTTTAATGTTTTGATGTTCTAGCTTCAGAAATAGTTATTGAAAACGTTATAAACTACTTATTTGATTATTATCTCCTACTAAATGAAATAATAATACAATAAATTGTTACGCTATTGAAAGCAAAAGAAAAGCATATTATAGTTCAAATTTCAAAAGTCATTGTGATTTCTACTCCAAATGTACTAAGTATTTTTGTTAACTATCACACAATTAAAGCAAAAGTTTTACGAAGTATTTAAAAAAACTAAAATCTATGAAAATAATATTACAATAATAAATGAAAACAATATGAGCACTGTGAATATCTAAATATCTAGCAATTTTTATCGACAGTTTGTTATGTAACACTTAAATTCAGTACCTAATTTGACTAATTTTATTTTACAATTGCACACGAAAATAATAAATATTTGTTAATATAATTTTTTGAACTAGCACAGGAAAACCCCTCACAAACTGTCTTATATTAGTTAAAATCGCTTTTAACCCATTTGCATGCTTACAAATTTATGATTATTCCTTATGTGAGAATTTAAGTTACCTGATTGTGTAAAAGCTTTGTCACAGAAATGACATTTAAACGGCTTTTCGTCTGTATGAAGTCTTATATGATTGCTCAAATTTCCTATAAACACCAAAATAACTTAAAAACGAATAAATGCTTACATAATAAATGGATAAGTGTTTAAAATATTAAAATATGGATAGTAATATAACATTTTTTGTCATCATCGCTTAAAAAAAATGGCTAAGCTTCTAAAGGAACCCACTGCATTGGGAAAAAAAACTTTTGGGTGTTTCATTCCCACCAGTCAGTAATGCTGGTGGGCGGGCAGTCTCTCCGGACTACGCTGGAAGGTAGGGCGGAAGGCCCTCTTCAGCCTGCTTTCAGGAATCGTGGGAATGGGTGGGTGGTGGTTCGGGTGAGAAAGATGAGAAGGACGAAATGAAGACAGAAGAGAATGAAAGATTATCTGTGGAATATTACTGCCTCAGTGGTCCAAGGAAACCACAGAAAAACTTGGACCAAGTTAGACGGACACGGAATCGAACCGGCGTCCTCCCGAATGCTAAGCAATGGTCTAAACCTCTAGGCCATGCCGCTCGGTAGTTGCATTAGGAGTCAAGTGATACCTTTTCGGAAGTAGAGAATGGTCTGTTTCTCGGTGAAATAGCGTGGATTTCTGCCACCCGATGCGAAGATTTGCCACCCTTCCTATTTTTACAATTATGTAAATCTTTTATTTAAATTGGTCGGGATAGCAGTGAAAAAGGTGTACAAAGAACTCATATCTTTTATTTAGCCCTTGAGGAGATAAGTAGCGTTTATTGCCTATTAGCGAAAATTGAAAATGATGAGCTTATTTACAAATAGCTTTCCATACATACATAAATAGATACATATATATATACGTGGATACTATTTATATTTGATTGAAATCGAATACTTTCACGATAAGTACAATAGAAAATAAGGGTGCGATCAGTATACAAAATAATAAATAAGTATTTTTCAAGAGGTCTATGACTGGGAAGTTAATAAATTTCAGCAGTTGCTCTATCTAGAGCCGCTACATCGGTAAAACTTGAGTTGCTTGTGTGCAAAAGAAATTTGGGCTTTTGCATTTGATACAAGATACAAGATTTGTAAATTTTAATAAAATAGTTAATTTCAATTCAAAATGTGTTAATTTACTTAGCAAAAAAACGTAAAATTAAGCGTGTACATTTGCAAAGGTTTCGGATAACTTACTTCATTTACATTTGTAATTCAGAATAGCAAGAGGATTTTGAGGATTCATCTCAGGATTTATGAAGAATTGTAAAGATTTCGGTTCTTCAAATAGATTAAACCGGATATTCAGTATTTTTATTGTCGTATTCTTTCCTTCACAGACATTTTATAATCATGGATATTCTATGACGTACATTTTTATGGTGGGGCAGCTTGGACAATAATCTTCGTCCCTATCACAAAGTACCGAGCGAAATGGCCTAGAGGTTTAGACTATTTCTAAGCATTCAGGAGGATGCCGGTTCGATTCTGAGTCCTCTGCCTTAGTTCAAGTTTTTCTGTGGATAACTTAGGCAAATGCTGGGGTAATAATATTCCACAGATAATCTTTCATTCTCTTTTGTCTTCATTTCACTAGTCTCATCTTTCTCACCCGAACTACCACCCACCCATTCCCACGATTCCTGAAAGGAGGCTAAAGAGGGCCTTCCTTAGAAGTGTTAAGTGGGACAAGATGTTAAATATACTTAAAAATGTAGGGATGAGATACAGAGATAGATACTTAGTTTATATAAAGAGCAACAGGCAGTTATAGAGCTGGAGCTGTAACATAGAGAAGTGAATATTAGAAAGGGAATCAGACAGAGATGTACACTGTCACCACTACTTTGTAATCTATACATCGAAGACGCCATCAACATCATTAAAGACAGTACAACTGTAGGGATAGATATATAGGGGAAAAAGATTAGTATGCTTAGATTTGCAGATGATGTAACCGTATTAGCATCTAACAACGAGGAGTTAAAGATAGGTTTAAATAAAATGGAAGCGGTACTGACAAAACAGTATTGTATGAAAATAAATAAAAAAAAAACAATACTGGTATGCAAGGGAAGAAAGAGAGCGAATATAAAAATAGGAGAATAAAAATTAGAAGTGGCTGATTTTAGGTATCTAGGAAGTCAGATAAGTAAGAACGGAAGGAGTTGTAGGGATATAAAGCAGAGGTTAGGGAGGGTCCAGTCGCCTTCAATAAATAGAAGTCACTTATACACTCCCGAACGGTTAATTTAGAAATTCGAAAAAGCTTATTAAAGGTGTACGTTTGGAGCGCGGTTCTGTATGGGTGCGAAACATGGACGGTGGGCGCGGTGGAAAAGAAAAGGTTACAAGCGTTCGAAATGTAGTGTTACAAACGAATGATGAGGATACCGTGAATAGAGAAGGTTAGAAATGGAGAATGGGAGAACAGAAGACTCTATGAAAGTCAATAAAAAATAGGCGAGATAGGTTGGTAGGGCACCTTCTCAGGCATGAAGGTCTAGTCAGAGACATTTTAGAGGCAGAAACAGGAGTAGAGGTAGACCTAGATTAGATTACTGTTCGCAAATAGTTAAGGATATGCGTTGTTCTAGTTTTAGGGAAATGCGACGATTAGCTCAGGAAAGGAAAGAGTGGAGGTGCGTGTCCAACCAGTATTAGGACTGACGACCCTGTGATGATGATGGTTAGATTTCATGAGGCTGTAAATAGTGTTTGTTTCTTAAATAGGTCAACTTAACATATTCTCCGCGCGCTAGGACCAATACCTTTCGAATAAAAAGGTCTTGATCTAAACCTTCCAAAAAGGTATCACTCGGTTCCCAGTTCAGTCGTTTTCTAATTAGAACTTTTTCTATTTATTAAAATGAACCATTCTTGAACACATTCGATAACATTTATTTTTAACACATCGAAATTCCTTGTTGTTAATATTAAATATTAATTTGAAAATTCATTCACAATTTTTATTCACTATATTAGGTTACCTCAAATTAATGAGGAAAAATTTTGTTCCTGTTGTCACACCCTCGCCGGGAATGTAACCTTTGGCTTTACGCACTGATGCTCTGGCCACTAAGCTTAGTGGCAATAACAAAATTTTTCCTCATTAATTTAAGGTAAGTTATATTGGATAAAAATTGGGACTGAATTTTAAAATTAATATTTATGTTTAACCTACTTAAAAAAAAGGAAGTTNTTCTTAAAAACTTATCTAATAAATTCACAATAAATATATCTCATCAATAAATTCATGTAGGTACAACCTATCGAGCAATATGGTATATTATTAAATTTTTCAATATTTCAAAGTAATTTTTTGTTTCTAAAGGTAAACCAAGAGGATTACGAACGGCTCGTAAGCACGTGAACCATCGTAGGGACCAACGATGGGCAGATAAGGACTACAAAAAAGCCCATTTGGGAACTCGATGGAAGGCTAATCCTTTTGGAGGAGCTTCACATGCTAAGGGAATTGTATTAGAAAAAGTGTAAGTACCTACTTACCAATATATTTAATTCTTCCTAAGTTGCACACAACAGATTTCATGGTAACTATCCTTGCTTTCAGAACATATGTGTGGAATTAATAAAAACATTACCTGATTGCGTGAAAGCTCGATCACAATGGGGACATTTATACGGCCTTTCCCCTGTGTGAATCCTCATGTGATTTACGAGATTGCAGGACTGTGCGAATCCTTTAAGACATACTTCGCACACATAGGGTTTATCTCCTGTATGTGTGCGCATGTGTATACTTAGGTTACTGCCTGTATTAAAACTTTTCATACAAAACTGACAAGTAAGTGGATCATTGGGATCAGGTTTAACATCCTCGTGCTTTTGTAAATGAGTCTTCATTCTCCTAAAAGTTTTACGTAGTAAAAAGTTGAATGAATATCTATAGCGTGCTGATGAAGGCTAAATATGTTAGAAATTGCGATCCGCGTTTGGTAGTTTCGATAAATCATTTACTAAACGTTTAATATGCTCATTACTAATTTGGTTTAGGTGCCTATTATATAGGTGGCGTTGCAGTTTCATGTTAACAAATGAAGTAGATATCATCCATGTCAAATACTACAGTTAATAGTAAATATCAACAGGTGGTGATATACGACCAATAACTGTGGCAGCTCTGCGAATTCAGGCGCCAAATTCAAAAATTTGTATAATAATCAATATAACTGAAAACAACTGAATATGAAAATGGAAACTTTTCTTTGATGTTTAATTACTTATAGAAAGTCAAGATTAGATTAAGCTGTATACTGTCATACTGTAAATCTACATACATACCTGAAGTATTTCTTACAAATGGGACACATTTCTAATGGCAGTGATTTTCGTTTTAGTAAGTGATTTATCTCTGCTTGGTTTACTTCATCTTTTGATACCAGTCTTACAGTTTCTCTCGAAGATCTATTAATATTTTTCTGTACATTATAGTTAAAATGATGAAGATAATTAGGGCATATTTTCATTGTAATTGGTGATTTTATAGGAATAATTGATACTTCAGGACTGTTAATTGCTTGAAAATTAGTTCTTGAATGAGTATTATTTGAATATGTGCTTTCATATTTTTTGTCTCCAAAATTTGCAGCTCCTTCCTAAAAATAAAAATAACAAATAAGTTTCAAGCTAATTTTTTATTTAATTAAACTCGTTTTTTTAATAATACATTAATTTTAAATAAAGTAAATAAAAATGTGACGTGATATTCAATAAATTCAAAAACAGTAAAAAAAAATTAAATAAAATAATAAATTTTGTTCGCCTTTTTAGGAAAGCTTATGAATTCTAAATATATATTATAGTTGCATACTTACTAAATCGTCATTAATAATAACGTCCGGTTCTAAAGAAATATGAAAATCCTCTTCGCATGTATTTTCCATTTTCGTTTACTCCGTAGAAAGATATTAAAAATTGCAAAAATATTTAAACGAACACGCGCAAAAAAACATAATTTAAAAATGTTACCTGATACTTTGCCAAAAACAAAATATAAACAAAACAATCTTAACCTTATTTGCGCCAAAAATGAGACTAACTCATTCTTCTTCTCGAGGCTTAAATAGTATTCGTAAAGAATTTGTCTTATAAAATAATTGAGAAATATTCTTTAAAAAAAAAATGAGATACATCTAGATTCACTTATGAATTTAAAAAAAGGATAAACAAAACCTGAGTTTATTTCTGTCAAGCAGTGGTTGTTTTTTTATTTTAAAAAATCAATCCTACAGAATAACCAACCTTTATGTGTAAAATATTCAGTATCTAAATATTTAGTATATTTCAATAATTTGATGTTGTTAAAATCAATAATTTCAATTAAGGTTTTTTTTTAAATTTACACCAGCAAGTTGAATTGAATAGAAAATTAAATTAATTTTATTGTTATTTTAAAACATTTGTTGTTATTTTTTTAATGTTGGTACTGTGGAATAAGTGTCTGTCGGCTGTCACTTCTTTTGCATCAGTTGGTGAAGTGGAAATATGGGTGAGTACTTTAGTCTTTTATTAAAAGTGAGTTAAAGTTTAGAAAAGGTGGTTTTGTTAATGTCCTTTTACTTTCTGTATTTTTTTATAATTTCGTTTTATAACATTTTTGGCTCCTCAACATGTTACTTTGATATTTTAATATAATTAGTACATACAGGGAACGGTTACATTCTTAAAAACTTATCTAATAAATTCACAATAAATATATCTCATCAATAAATTCATGTAGGTACAACCTATCGAGCAATATGGTATATTATTAAATTTTTCAATATTTCAAAGTAATTTTTTGTTTCTAAAGGTAAACCAAGAGGATTACGAACGGCTCGTAAGCACGTGAACCATCGTAGGGACCAACGATGGGCAGATAAGGACTACAAAAAAGCCCATTTGGGAACTCGATGGAAGGCTAATCCTTTTGGAGGAGCTTCACATGCTAAGGGAATTGTATTAGAAAAAGTGTAAGTACCTACTTACCAATATATTTAATTCTTCTTAAGTTGCACACAACAGTACATTTTTAAGTAACATTTTAACGTTGTAGGTTGTTGTATATTAACATATAGTGAAATACACTAGTATAGTTTTATATTTTTAGTGTGTTTAATTAAAGTAGATATGTTGCCTAACTTTTACAAACCTACATTTGCATTATGAGACCACCAAGTTATAACTATATTAACCTGGTGTTTTTGAAGTGATAATGCTAGATTATAGGAGTGCTGAACCATTGGGAGGACTTTTTAATAGACCTTACGCTCTGATATGTACTCTACAATACAATTTTCGTCCAAGTGGGATTACTTTGCGCAGAATTTCTATGTGGATGGCAATTGTAAGTCCAATCACAGGAAAATTCTGTGCGAAGTGGTCTTGACATTCATTGCTGGACTTTTCTTTTTTATATTAGCTAAGTTAATTATTGTTCAGGTTAATTAAAATATTATACATATGCAAATTAAAAACAACGGGATATTGCACAGTATACCAAATTGTTTATTAAGCCAATTCTAGCTTCAGAAATAGTTATTGAAAACGTTATAAACTACTTATTTGATTATTATCTCCTACTAAATGAAATAATAATACAATAAATTGTTACGCTATTGAAAGCAAAAGAAAAGCATATTATAGTTCAAATTTCAAAAGTCATTGTGATTTCTACTCCAAATGTACTAAGTATTTTTGTTAANAGTTATGAATAAAAAATTAATTATAAATATAAAATATTGGCTTTAGTTGTAAGCTAGTATGTACTGTATAATATTTTGAGGATAATTCAGTTCCAATAATAGTAACATGTAATAAAATATGAAATTTTAAACTAAAAGTAGTTTGTCCATGAAACTTATTCATTTTAATATTATTTTACAGAGGTGTGGAAGCTAAACAACCGAATTCAGCTATCCGTAAATGTGTAAGGGTACAATTGATAAAAAATGGCAAAAAAATTACAGCTTTTGTACCTCGTGACGGTTGTTTAAATTACATTGAAGAGAACGATGAAGTCCTAGTTGCAGGTTTTGGTCGAAAAGGTCACGCTGTCGGGGACATTCCTGGAGTTAGATTTAAGGTCTAGTGTGGAATAATTTCAAATAAATTTTATATTAACGTTTCTGTTTCTGTTTGTTTAGGTTGTCAAGGTAGCCAATGTGTCTCTCTTGGCGCTGTACAAAGAGAAAAAAGAACGACCGCGATCATAATTTATGTAATTAATGATGTTAAAATAATTTCCTATTTTAATAAAAACACAATAACAATTAATACATTTTTTTATTTATTGGCTCCTTAGTATTTATTTGGCTACAGTTTTTAGCTGATCAGGTAGTATAAAATACGGGGATTTCTGAGTAAATTTTGTTAAATAGGGTAATGGTTATTATTACTTGTTTTACCTTATTGAAACACTATCTAAATGTAGGCCGCTAATTGACTCCATTGTTCTATTAGCAATTTTTTTGAGTGTTTCATTTAATGAATTGAATTTAGTAGTACACAATACAATTAGATTATAAAGTTAAATTCGATATGCGCCATTAGTCCGAAAACTGGCTGAACGCGCACCTTCACCTTTCTGTATTGAACCAATCTGCATTTTCTGAAAACTAGAGCACTAATATCTGTCTTCCTGATTCTTCCTTTGCTTCTTACTACTTTTCCTATTTCTATTCATTCGTTTAAATGGAAATGTAAAATGATCATATTTTGCATTAGTTTCTGTTTTATTTTATTAGATCTTTACTAGAAGTTTTCAATTTATTTATATCTAAGCTAATTATTTAATTATTAGTTTTTGTAGTGTTTGTTAACTGTAAAACATAACGGTAAGAAGTTTGAAGGTAAGGACTTTTTAAATAGAACAAAAGTTATTTCGAAAAGTATGTTTCTAATAATAAAATAATATGAAGTTTGTTGTAGTTCATCGTCATCATCATAAGGTCGTCAGTCCTAAATTCTATTGTTTTCTGTTGACATGCACTTTAAAAGAAGGTTTATATTTTCTTTGATAACTGTTTGATTAATCGATAATTGTTTAACTGGATCGAAATGATTGATTTTTGACTGGATTGACTGATCGAATTGAATTCATTAGAAGAAAAACTTGGTAAAAAATAAAGAATCATGAAAATCTGTACTTGCATAAAAGTTTTAAGGAAATGTGGGTGCGTGTGTGCGTGCGTGACCATTTTTTTCTGATCGATATCGCGCGAAAGATATTAATGACAATATAATCTGAAAAGAATTACGTAACATTCGGTCGATTTAAGACTGTTTAAAAAAGTAGAAGGCAAGAAAAACAAAGTCGCAAAACAAAACAGAAACGCATCGTAACGCAAGTAAAACAATAAATTTTCTTTGCTTATCAAATATTCTTACTTTCCTAGTATGCTCATAGAGGAGCTTACATATTATCAACTTTTTATTAATCAAACTGCAAAAACAAAAAATTAATAGCATGAAGAAACGATTCAACCGTAGTTTAAAAGTCTAAAACATATGAACATATACATAGATAAGCATATGAACAAATCAGGCCATGGTACCACTAGCGTACTCTTTTACTGGCGCTGGCGAAGCTTACCGAAGCGAGAAGTGAAGCGCAAACGTTGATCGACGTATGATGATGTTCGTATTAGAAAATCCGGTGTCTCTTATTAAGAGTTTTAGGTGAAAAGAAGTGTAAAACTAACAAATGATCCGAAGTGAAAATGGCTGACGAACAGGTATTTAATAAGAAAACTTTTTTTAAATAATTAATGCCTCTACAGCTTCAATAAACAGCAGGTACTGGTCGGAAAAATTGTTATTAATCTGATGCAAAATTTCACCCATCAGGGGACTTATTTAAAATTTCGCGTTTTTTCAATGATTATTCTGAAGTGGATTAGATACTTCCATTATTGATAACCGCTCATGTGACTAATTTTTCAAATAATTTTGAACTATCAAAATGTACTTTTTTAAGGTTAATATCATTTGGATGACTGTTTACTAACAAATCTAACCTGCAAATTGGTTTTGATTATGCAGGAAATCTGTCAGCTAGAACTGCTGTGCAAGCAGCTCTATGAATCTCAGGACAGTACGATTAGGGCAGACGCCGAAAAGGCCCTCGTTGTCTTTCAAGATGGACCTGATGCATTAACCAAATGTCAAGTATTATTAGATCGAGGGAACTCCTGTTATGCTCAACTTTTAGCAGCAACCACTCTTACCAAACTGGTTTCCCGAAGTGCACAGGGCCTGAGTCTTCAGCAAAGAGTTGATATAAGGAATTACATTTTGAATTATTTGGCCACAAGGCCTAAACTACCTAATTTTGTTGTACAAGCTCTTGTAACTCTTTTTGCCAGGATAACAAAACTTGGATGGTTTGATACACACAAAGATGAGTACATTTTTCGAAATGTGATAGCTGATGTCACCAAATTTTTGCAAGTGAGTCTCTTATTATGATGGCTTTGTCTACCAAGAACCAGTTTTCACTTTCAACTTGTGTTTTTTATGCAATTCAAAAAGTTTAAAGTACTTTATAAGATATCCTCCAATCCTTGTGATTCTGTCACGTTTTAGTAATCCTAGTAATTGAAAAAAAAAATCGCAGATCGTATACAATATTTGCCAGTCATTAGAAAAATATTTTATATTTTCCATTCTTAATTTTACGTATAACTACTCTGGTTTGTCTCATTGCTGTTAAAGATTGTTTCCACTGAAATATATAAAATTATTAATTTAAGTTAATTAGAAATATTTTATATTTGAGAAATATTTTTACGTTTTCACTTTTAAATATTTACCTTTAAAACACTATTTTTCAATTGATTAACTTCATTTAAGTACATAATAGTATTTTATGGAAGCATTTTTATTTCAAATTTACTTGCGTTTACTTTAAGCTTGAAAGGACTACATAGTTGTCATATTGTTATACTGTAATGGCGTTTATTGTATTTCAGGATTCAGTAGAGCACTGCATGATAGGAGTTCAATTATTATCACAACTTACTTGTGAAATGAATCAAATATCGGATGTAGAAGCTAATCGGTCATTAACGAAACATAGAAAAATAGCGTCGTCTTTCAGAGATACTCAATTGTATGAAATATTCCGTTTGTCTTGTGCTTTACTTGGCACTGCTTGCGAAAATTGTAAAAATTTAAATTTCAATGATGAAAGTCAGCATGGATTGATGACACAAATGCTGCGTTTGGCCCAAAACTGTCTTACTTTCGATTTCATTGGCACGTCTACCGATGAGTCTTCCGACGATCTTTGTACAGTGCAAATACCTACCAGTTGGAGGCCGGTTTTCCTTGATTTTTCGACACTTAAACTCTTTTTTGACTTATACCATTCCTTACCTAGTTCGTTGTCTTCATTAGCTTTGTCTTGTTTAGTACAAATCGCTTCAGTGCGCAGATCGTTGTTCAGCAATCCTGAGAGAGCTAAATTTTTTTCGCATCTCGTAAGCGGTGTTAAACGCATCTTACAAAATCCGCAGGGATTAAGTGACGCAGCAAATTACCACGAATTCTGTAGGCTTTTGGCGAGGCTAAAATCCAACTATCAATTAGGTGAGCTGGTCATGGTTGAAGATTATCCAGAGGCTATCCAGCTTATTGCAAAATTTACTATCCAAAGTTTGCAGGTAATAATTGTTAAAATTGTCACTGGTCAAATTAATAAAGTATAATGTTAATGGTTTTTAATAGATGTGGCAGTTTGCTCCAAATAGCGTTCATTATTTATTAAGTCTATGGCAAAGAATGGTAGCATCAGTTCCTTATGTTAAAGCGTCTGAGCCTCATCTTTTAGAAACTTATACTCCAGAAGTTACTAGTGCTTATATCACATCCCGGTTGGATTCTGTAGCTGTTGTTGTCAGAGAAGGTTAATATTTACCACTTACTATTATTGTTTATTCTATTTATCGTTAATTAAATGAATGGTCTTAAAAAATAGGTCTGGAGGATCCTTTAGATGATCTCGGAATGATACAGCAACAATTAGAACAGCTGTCGGTAATAGGTCGATGTGAATATCAAAAAACGTGTGCATTATTAGTTCAACTTTTTGATCAATCAGCAAGGACTTACCAGGAATTACTTTCAACGACGACCTCACAACAAATTGATATTACAATTCAAGAAGGTACGTCAATTGTTTTTATTTTGAATAATTACTTGTTCAAAAATAAAAACTTTCATGGCCGAAATCCATAGTATAATTAAGATTCGGGTTGATGGGCCGTGATCAAAATGATCTGAACCTAATCGTTCATTTCTAACATTGCCCAATTGCTCGAAATTTAATCCCACTAACGATTTGGATGGAGATTCTGAAGATAATAGGTTTTTCTAGGTCAACTAACGTGGCTGGTGTACATAATTGGCTCGGCAATCGGGGGTAGGGTGTCATTTAATAGTAACGAAGAACATGATGCCATGGATGGGGAATTGGTGTGCAGAGTATTGACATTAATGAATCTTACTGATTCGCGACTGGCGCAGGGTGGCTGTGAAAAATTAGAACTTGCCATGTTAAATTTTATCGAACAGTTTCGTAAAATTTACATTGGGGATCAGGTTCAGAAAAATTCGAAAGTTTATAGAAAATTGTCGGAGGTTCTAGGATTGAACGACGAGGCTACTGTTTTGAGCGTTTTTATTAGGAAAATGTAAATTGTTTTGCAATTATTATAGTACGTTGTTCCTGTTTACCTTTAACGAATGCTTTCTAGAATAACAAATCTGAAATATTGGGGCAGAAGTGAGCATATAATCAGTAAAACGTTGCAATTATTAAATGATCTTTCGGTGGGATATATTTGCGTAAGAAAGCTGGTAAAATTAGAGGAAGTACAGTTTATATTAAACAACCATACCAGTGAGCATTTTCCATTTCTCGGAAATACCGTCGCCATAAGTGAGATGCGGTGTAGGTCGATGTTTTACACGTCATTGGGACGTTTGCTTATGGTTGATCTCGGCGAAGACGAAGATCGATTTCATACTTTTATGCTTCCTCTAACAGGTTGGTAACAAAACAAGATGGGCACCAGACGTTTTAATATTATTTTATCATTTTCAGCGTCATTTGAAAGCTTAGGGTCACTGTTGACTTCTGCTGATACACCTCTCTATGCTGCAGATGAAGCCAAAGCGGCATTAATTGGCTTGGCGAGAGATTTACGCGGTTTAGCATTTTCTTTTAACACCAAAACGTCATATATGATGTTGTTTGACTGGTTGTATCCTTTGATAGAAATAATCAAAATAGTTTTGATATTTATCGTTGTACCTATTATCCTTATTAAAATACATTTCGAATAACCAATACATGAAAGTGGGATATTTACTGCTAACTGTAGTTTTTCATAGTGTTTGACTTGGTATTACGAAGGTGTCTTGCCAAACTGAAACTATTAGGTAGCTTATCTCCATATTTAGTATACCTAACTTTATTATCCTTCGTATACATAATTAAAGTAAAGTGTAATAAACATAACAGAAACTGTTTTAATTTATTTAATATTTTTTGGAAATTAAATAGCCTTAACTCGTGATTAGGTATCCTAATTATACTCCAATATTGTTAAGAGCGATTGAGTTATGGTATCATGATCCACAAGTTACGACGCCTGTTTTAAAACTTTTTGCCGAGATTGTACAGAATAGGTCTCAAAGACTACAGTTCGATGTGTCTTCACCGAATGGTATATTATTGTTTAGAGAGACCAGTAAACTGATATGTAGTTACGGTAAGTTTATATTTTATGTTCCTGTTCGTAATTGATATTTCATTTGTGTCAAAATTTAGAACAAATTTTTTGGATTCTGAGTTTGAAACCGCGTCATGTAGTCCTGTTGCACCGTTTTTCCATGGGATACTTCTTATTAATGCATTACTGAAATAATAAAATTAGCATGCTTAAAATTTACACCAAGTGATAGGATTTTATTCGGTATACAGATAAACATATACACGGTGTTTATAAACAATATATTGTAATAGTATGAGCAATGATATATGAAAGAAGTACATTCATCGCTGATGAAACTATAAAACATTTTTGAAACATCATCATCATCATAAGGTCAAAAAAAATATATAGTTTAATTATTAGCGGATTGCTCTTTTTCGCGATTGCACGTTTATATTTTGGAAATATTCATTCAGGGTAATACCCTAAAATAGTTAACAAAAGTATTTATAGTTTTAGTAATTCTAGGTTTTTTAAAATAGAGTTGTATAAAAAGAAATTGTGCTGATTATAAAATATTACAAATAGTAGAGGCAGATATTTAAAACCGTGTTATTAGTTAATGAAAAATTATACTTAATATGATAAAGAAAAAGATTTTTTAGTTTTCAAAGGAGTGTCGTTTAAATCAGTGCTTTAATTTTGTGTTTAATATCGTTTAATTCGAGGTTTCTTAATCTTTAATGTCGGGGGTCCTGACTAGCGTTATTTATTAAATTATTATTTTTAAATTGCCTTGTTTTTTCCTACAATTTTATTCCAAAGGGGTCTGTGGGATTTTTATAATTTTGAAAGTGGTCTACAACTATAAAAAGTTTAAGAAACTGTTGCTTAACCCGTTATACAATTATTCTGCGTTTGAAATTGATGGTATATGTTACACGTACGCTTTTTTATTGTTTCTAAATAAAAATCATTGTAACAGTAGTTATTTGATCGTCTATAAATCTTATATTTTTATAGGTAGTAGGATATTGAATGTCGAAGTAGCGAAAGAGCAAATATATCCGTTGAAATTAAAAGGAATATCGATATGCTTTTCAATATTAAAGGCTGCTTTGTGTGGAAGCTATGTCAATTTCGGAGTGTTCAGGCTGTATGGCGACGAAGCCTTAGATAATGCTCTTAATATTTTTGTAAAACTTCTTTTATCCATACCACAGTCCGACTTACTGGTAAGTGAACAGCGTTTTTTTTTTTAAGATTAATCAAGAAAATGTTATGTGTTTTAATTTATGAATGGGGCCATTGTATGAAGTTATTCATCGGTACTGTAGTGGTGGCTATGAAGCTATATACAACATAATTTTACATGGTTTTATATGTATATAATAATAATATATACTTTAGGATTATTATATGCTCTAAGGGCGGATTAAGATTAATGAGCGTAGTGTATTCAGACTTTGAAAATTGTTTAAGGTGGGAACTTGAAATTTCCGCAGTAGTTTTCCATACTACTGAGCCTTAATGAAAAGGGTGATTATACAAAATTGAAAAATTTCTTTTCTCCAACTGAAAATTGAGAGGGAGTTTATAGTTTATACAATGAATATATGTGAATACTAAGTGTTTAGTAAAAAACTGGACGGGGGGGGGGTGTTTATACGCCGTAATATACGGTAATTAAATCTACTGCTACCACCCCTCATTTTGGGACCTACTACACATTAAGTAATTATACTAGAAGTTACTTAAATGTTTTTAAGAGTATTGATAAACTAATCCCTTCGGTTGTTTTAATCAAGAATTTTGAAAAAGGTTAATTTGAAAATTTTCAGTGTATTTTTAATTATTTTTCCAGGATTATCCGAAATTGTCACAGACTTACTACGTACTATTAGAATGTGTAGCGCAAGATCATATGAGTTTTCTATCCACGTTGGAACCACAAGTCTTTTTGTACATTCTTTCCTCGATTTCAAAAGGACTAACTGCCTTAGGTGGGCAATTGAATAACTATACAGGTTTGTGCAAGTCAGAGACAGACAGCCATAAGTTATAATTTTTGTTTTTTTACTGAACGACCATAATTTTTTTCATTTTTATTGTTTTAATGGTGCATATCAGACATACTCATTATGAATTTAATTTTTTGGGTTATAATTCACTTAAATTTACTTTGCCCACAACCGACAACAGTAACAATCTTATTTTCTAATTTCGACGGCCAATTTCAAGAATCTTCCGGCTAAAAACGTTTCGACTGTCAATTTTGGTTTTTAAACCCAAAGATTTGAGTGTATCGTACATTCCAAACTTAAGTATAGGGTGAAAGTTTTTTTTATTGTAAAACCGACCACCGAGGTTTCGCCTTAATTACAAGTTTTTGTCAAGGTAGTTTTTGTTGTTAATGCATTATGTTAATTATATGGTATGGTCTACGATCCACGTGTGAATACAAAATGTAGATATACATGGATAAGGTAATAAATAGTTATAAATAATTAAAGACAATGTATAAGCAGCACTTATGTAACTATAATATGATGAATTAGTTATCAATCTTCTCCCTGATATAATATAATCAATAAAATAATTAAATGTCAAATAGGGCGAAGGTTTATATTCCAATTATTTGATCTCAACCTTACATCTTCTAAGGCTTTCTTTAATATGGATTAATAGCAATGTATGATCATGACAGATATTGACGATGACTTGTAATCATACATTAAACCTGTTTTAATTTTTTAGCTATTTATTTTACTTATAATTTTTAAAAATTGTGTTGCCTTGAAATGGTTTTGATTAAGT